CAAGCTATTGACAAGTAAAAAATTGAATTTAAACGAACAAAAGCACAAGATTCTATTTATTTAGAAGCATAAAAATTATTTATTAATAATCTTGTATTCAATCCTTCCTTCAAAGTTTGTTGTACAGAAAACGTGCTATGTTGATCATATAGTAAAATCAGTAAATGTGAAATCTTGTCTGGCTGGTAATCTTTGTCTTTCTCCAAAGGAAACAAAAATGAAAGGAATAAAAAATATGTTAATTGTGTAGAAAAGATCATAATTAAAATCAATATGAATATAATAATAATATAATAATAATAATAATCAATGAATGAAATAAAATTGATTTTTGTATATTAATTATGCTTTATACCTGTGTCTATTAATTTGTTTTGTAGTTTTTGTATTTGCAATTCCCAAGAATTTTTTTTCGTCCTCAATTCCTCCTTCTCTTCTTCCAGTTCTTCTTTTTTGACAACCCACATTCTCATTTCATATTCACTATTGTATCTTTTTCCAGCTAAATTTATTTTTAATTCGCGCAATCTTTCTAATTTTTCAAGATATTTATCATAATGTATGCCATCTCTTTCAATTTCGGTTTTTATATCAATCTGTTTTTGATTATAAAAGAGTTCAATTTAAATTGATTTGTATTTTTATTAGGTGAAAAAGATCAAGGAAGAGCAGAAAATCATGTAGTATAAAAATCAATAGCTTAGTTTACATTTAGTTTAGATTGTTTTCGTTGTGTGCATGGCTCATCTTTTTCATTTTCCTGCAAGTTGGAAATTGTATTAATTTCAAATATCAATCTTACCACATTCAAAGAGAATAGCCAATGGTTTTTTTATGCATGCTGTTGAGCTGATTTTTTTTTTTGCATTTTGGTATTGTAAAAAAAAATAGTGTTATTTTTTAATGTATAAACTAGAGTGATGACAGGTGGCAGGTGATAACCACCACTATAAACAACACTTACCCTTTCTGAGCATCAAATTCATTCTCTTTTCTTTTTTTTCCTTTTTTATTAATTGAAATTGAAGACATTTTTATTTTATTTTTAATATTAATTAAAAAAAAGAAAAAAGAAATATATATATACATAAACAAAATAAATTATTATTATTGGCACTTGGTGTTGCACAAATTTTGGTTACGTGATTGTTTTTTTTTTTTGGAAAAACAGATGATCTGTGATTGGTTGATCATAAAGAAATTGATTGGATAATTTTATAATATGCCGATCATTATTAAAATTTTTTAAGATAAATAGATTCTTAGCAATATTTTTTTATTTGTAATTGGTAATAAATAATTCAACAAAAACATTAGATGAAAACTTTTACTATAATTACTATGTAATAAAGTACACCTATGGTTTGAGACAGCAATCCTATAACATTGAACAATGAATGTATCATTTACTCACTACTTGATATATTAAATTATTACATAGCTCTTGTCTAATGAATGAAAGATACTGAATATTAGATATTGATATATTAAATATTAAATAAATTGTAAATATTATAAATTATAAATATTAAATTGTATTAAATAAATTATAAATATTATAAATTATAAATATTAAATTGTAT